CTATATCTGTAACTCTGCAAGTATGTAACTACCATTACGAATAGTCATTTCAGAATCCATATCTCAAGTTAAATACTTTCAAACTTGAAATAAAAGAAAATAAAAACAGAAATAGTATATTTTCACCGAGAGACGTGAGCATCATGTGGTGTATATTATAGGCTCTTGTGTCTCATCAAAATTTGAAACATGAAAAGTTAGTTGAGGGCGCGAAAAGAACAGTAGTTGAGTTATGAGTCTTGGATTCGTTTGCTATACACTTTTATAGTAAAATATATGATTCTACCCAAAAAGGAAGGACAACAGGTAAAAATAGATTATTAATACATATCTGTAGATTCTGTACGTAATAAATTTGTACTTTCACTGTTTACTGTCGACAGTCCACTTGTTCAGCCAAAAACGAAGTTGTGATACCTGTTTAGGTTACTGCCTACGGGGGTACGTAGGTATTCAACATTAACTATATAAAATGTCACTCATTATAACGGTTAACTTTAGTCTGATTCACGTATTATTGGGTTTTCTGATGGTTTCATTTCTTTTGCTATTTACATACTGATAAATATTTTCGTCGACACAGTATCGCCCGGATCGACATGTACCATCAACAAACAAAAAGTTGATATGGATCGGACCAAATAATTTTGTTGTTTTGATTTTATTGTCAATAAGCATTAATCATTTACGACAAAAAAAAAACATTAATAATTTTGAACTTTTTTATGATTCGGTTCTAAAACTTTTGTGACGATATGCCATTTACTTTTAATTTCTTTATATTCAATTATTTTTATCTAATTTACTTGTATAATTTATAATAATAGTACTTATTAATATCTTCCTTTTGAAAATAAACCGTACACTGTTTTATGGTTTTTTAAATCTATACTATTATTTGCGAAGTGATTTTTCGCAACAGAGCTCTCACGTTAAAAGTTAGAGTTGTTAATAACGCATATACCCTTAATGAATAATTAAAAATTTCAATATATAATTAACTATAAATAAAAACCAATTTTAGTGGTTTAAGATTTATCCTTATCTCAAAATATTTTCTAATGTTTTAAATAGTCGTTATTAATCTTGAAAATAGTTTTATTTGTTAATATATAATTAACTATAAATTAAAAACGAATTTGATTATTTTTATAATTATCCTTATCTAATTTTTTTATATTGTGTTATAAAATCTTTATCAACATTGAAAACTATTTATATTTTTTAATCTATAAACTCATTCATTTGATAATTATTTATAAAAAAATAATTTATATTGTGTTATCCAAAAAATTAATTTTCATCTTATTTCAAAAATAAAACTAAAAAAAAAAGTCCTACATATTATTTTCTATATATTTTTATGTATACTAGAGTATTTCAAATTTATTTACGTAATAAAAGATAATTTTATTATACTCAAATTTTTTTCATATCTTAAAATTTGATATTAATTTATTACTAAACATTTTAACTTATAAGTGTTTTTAAATTTAATTTATGTAATGGCAATTCTTATATTATGATGAAAAACATAATATATAAAAACATTATTATTAAATATCTTGAATATATAAACAATAACTTATTTTAATGTTACTTAAATTGATTACATATTTATTTATAGATATTTGTAAAATCATTAAGCCCGCATGTGCGGGCAAAAACACCTAGTATTCATTATACGAAAAATACTAATTCTAATAGAGAAAAATATAATAAATTAAAAAGATATGTAAAGAATTTTTAACAGATTTATTGATTCTGACCACTAAATATTTCAATCTATCAGAATTATATTGAATTTTCTTATGGATTCTTAAAAATATTTAAAAGATTAAAAATTTAAAAAACTGAACATTTTTAGGTTATCAAAAAATGATAAATTAACTTAAAAAATATTAAACTATATATAGCTAAAAAAATTATGCGAAAAGATAAGATTTGTTTTGAAACATGAAAGTAGTAAAACTTTGTAATTTTGAAACTTGGAGAGCGCTTATTTTTAAAAGTTTTCTAAATTTTTGAAATCATAAAACCCTTTTAAAACTATAAATGATGAACTTAAATTTTAGAACATTCTAATATTTTTAAAATTATAAAAGGTTCTAAGTATATATATATCAAAACATAATAATAATAAAATTGTTTCGAATTTGTATTACTTGTAAAAAATTGAAATGAAAAAATTATCAAAAATAAAAGGAAAATAATAAATTTCAAATATATATCTAACACCATAACACTAAATACTATTATTGACAAACCCCAATTTTAAACTTTACAAGGTTACATTAATAAAAAACGCACGCTTATATACAACTCATTATACATGTATATTTTTCTAGTGATAGTTTGTTACATAAAACGACATAATCAGAATAAGAATTTAATTTTTTATAACCGTAAATTACATTTTTTTCCTTTTACGGATAGTTTGTTACATAAAACGACATAATAAAAATCAATGCTAATTTTGTATAACCGTAAAAAAATGTAACTGTAATTTTATTAATTTTTTCAACAAAGGTTTTACTAAAAATTAGAAGGGCATTAAATTAAGGAAAAAGATGTCAAACACACATAACTATTGACATATGTGACTAATCATTATAACTGTTAATTAAGATTCAATAATAACAAACTCTTGACCGGCACACATGGACAATGCATGAATAGCGTCACTGTGTATTTAAAGGAGTACGTACTTTACATAAACTCAAGTGAGAACCATCAGATTCCTCGTACTTGTAAGAATGATGTCTTTCCCAGTTTCTGCAAACGCCGCAAACCCACCACCAAAATGCAACAAACCGACTCTTTCATCTCTTCCTCTGCCAGATGAAGTGTCAACGATTTGCTTCGCATACGTACCAAGATGTGACTACCCTTCACTCTCTCAAGTCTCCAAGACTTTCAACAATCTCATCGCTTCCTCGGAGCTTAACCGCGTACGTTCACTCCATCAAAGCACCGAGAACGTTCTTTACCTTGCCTTGAGATTCAGTCACGACCAAAACCCTGTTTGGTACACTCTCAATCAAAAACCCTACAAAGAAGAGTCAAACTCTTTGAACCATAAGTTGGTTCCGTATCCTTCTTTCCCTTCTCTGCCTTGTTGGGGGTCTAACGTTATTGTCATCGGTCAAGAGATGTACGTTCTCGGTGGATACATCAACGGTGAGTTAACCACTAATGTTTTTGCTATTGATTGTATATCTCGCACGTGTCGGTCTCTTCCTAGCATGCGTGTGTCTCGTGGCTGCGCTGCTTTTGGTGTTGTACATGAGAAGATTTATGTACTTGGAGGATGTGGAAAGAAGTCGTCGAAAGATTGGGTTGAAGTTTTCGACCTCAAGAATCAGACTTGGGAAAGCTTTCAAGGTTTGTTTCATTTTTTTTTCTAATGCAAAGAGGTTGTGGACCGATAAACCACACCATGTAATATTAATTTTTTTTGTCAACCGTCCATCTAAAACTAGTTGCGTCATCAATATCGATCAATTTTACTTTTAAGTTTTGCCTAGAATGCTCTTCTAGTTCAGCTAATGATACTTGGTATGATGCTTTTTAGGTGTGTGCAACAAAAAGTTGCACGAGGTAACGCTCAATAGTTTTGTGATGCACGAGAAGATTTACATGATGGATTGTAAGAGAAGTTTTGTGTATGATCCGAAGAAAAATAAATGGGAGAGGGAAAACTCGTTGAACAGTGAATGGCAAGTTGGTTCGTGTGTTATTGACAACATGTTGTACACTTTTGGAAATGAGAATGGAATAAGCGTGTACGATCCAAAAGCTAGGACATGGAGAGCACTGAAAGGTGTTGATGAGGATCTACCTGACATGCGTGGTTCTCAAGGAGGGTCTAGAATGGCGAATCATGGGGGGAAACTAGTGACTTTGTTTAAGCTTAATAAAAGGGGGGACACAAAGATTTGGTGTTCAGAGATTGCGTTGGAGAGGCGTGGACAAGGAGAGATTTGGGGGAAGGTTTTGTGGACTAATATCGTAGCTACTTTTAAAAGCTCCCCAACCATTGTTCAGTGTCTTGATGTCATCATATGATTAGTTAATCATGAGATTGGGTTTTATAAAATAATGTATGCTTTCGTAGTTGAGTATGCTCGAGTTTGTGATGTTTATCAAACCCTTTCTTTAATGAATTTGACCCTTTTTCAATTCACAATCATTTTTAATTACAGTAACAAGACTGAACGGATCCAGCTGGTGGTCTGGTTCCGACCACTTCAACTTTGCTCTTTAGGCTTGTCCTTAGGCCGGTGCGTGATTAGTCCACACCTTCCAAAACAGCGTGGAACACACTACTTTAATTTTATTTTCATTACTATATTAGAATATATGGATTTTAACTAATTTTAACTTCAACACACATTGGTGTTCAAAAAAAAAAAAAACCTTCAACACACAAAATAATAGAAAAGTTTCAACTATTATCTCTACTTTTTTGTTTGACCTTAAATTTATTTTTAGTTTTCCTAGCTCAAGGTTCTGATAGAATTTAATTTCAAAACTTTGATAATTTATATTAAATGAAATAAAATTTAAAATATTTATTTTGAAATCATTTATAATTACTTAAGATATGAATTATACCCTTAAATTTTAGTTTAACTTAAATTTCATATTTCGTAAATACTTAAGATATAGTTAAAAGGTTTATCATCATTATCTGATAGAGTTTAATTTATTTTTTTTTGATAATTTACATTTAGTGAGAATTTAATTTTACATATTGAAATATTTTCATATTTTTTAAATATATGAATTATTTCCTCAACTTTTAGTTTAACTTATATGTTTATTTTTTTGTAAGAAATTGTTAATCAAACGGTTATGGGTTTTTATAGTCCAACCAGAGCCGGTACGTTCAAAAACTTTTCTCGGTTATCTTTCGGCCTTTCGATTAAAAAAATACTAAATTTAATAAAACCGGCGATGTCATTAGTCACTAAACCATTATTACAACCATTAAAAGCTCTTACACAAGAAGGAGCACTAGATTAGTGGAATCTCTTGACTTTTCCATCACTTCCTCCACCTAATCTTATCGTCCTCCTTCTTCAGCTCTAATCGGAGCAAAATGGAGGCAGTAACGGCGATTAAGCCACTGATCAGAGTCGCTGCTATCTCCGGTTCTCTCCGGAAAGGCTCTTTCAACACCGGTCTCCTCCGCGCCGGTATATACTATCTCTCTCTTGTCCTCAATATTTGTGGTTTATATAACGTTTTGTGATTTTTATAATCAGCAATCGAGTTGACGAAAGAATCAGTTCCGGGGATGGAGATTGAGCATATAGACATATCTCCGTTGCCGTTGATCAACACCGATCTGGAATCCAACGGGACTTATCCTCCCGTCGTCGAAGCTTTCCGGCAGAAGATTCTTGAAGCCGATAGTATTCTTTTCGCTTCTCCTGAGTACAACTTCTCTGTCTCAGGTAAACCCTTTTCATTGTTTGCCATAAAGATTAGTTCTTTAAAATAAAATAAAAAAAGCTTTAGTTTTAGGTGTCTCCATTGTTTCGCTGGGTTTAAGACAAGACATGATGTTTCTTTGGCTTTGTTGTGTTGTAGAAAGTAGTTAAGACATGTGAATGTGAATTATTAATTTAGTACAAGCTTATTTATTTATAACGACTTCTTTCAATTTGTTTACATTATTCGTTACTATATTAGCTCCACTTAAGAACGCGATCGATTGGGCTTCAAGATCACCTAACGTTTGGGCCGACAAACCTGCTGCCATCATAAGCGCCGGTGGAGGTTTTGGTGGAGGAAGGTCGCAGTACCATCTTCGACAAATCGGAGTATTCCTTGATCTTCATTTCATCAACAAACCGGAGTTTACTCTCAATGCGTTTCAGCCGCCTCAGAAATTTGATGCAGATGGAAACTTGGTCGATGAAGTGGCTAGGGAGAGGATAAAGCAAGTTCTTGTCTCGTTACAGGCGTTTACTCTGCGACTTCAAGGTAAGAAGTAAAGTGGAAAGTGTGAGGGTGGTTCTTGATCATTTGTGTGAGAGATTGGATTGTGTGATGAAAAATAATGTCCGATTCTTGTGATAAGAAACAGTATCTTTGCTACGTATCTGATGCTCATTAATGTCGTATGTGTTTACATGATAAAACTGTGTTTATTAAACGAGTGATGTTTTTGTTTCTTGTTTCCTCCTAAATAAGAAGAGCGATGGATTTAGCATTGGAGAATGGTTTTTAGATTTCTTATTTTAAAACTCAAGCTACAATTATTATTGTGCAGTAATAACATTCCCTCTGTTTTAGTATAACATACGTTTGTTAAAATGTTGTTTTTGTTTTAAAGCAGAATTATTTTTACAGTTTATGTAAGTTTTATATATTAGCCATTGTGTAGCCAATTTATCTAACCTTTTTCATGATTAGTTGAATTATATTTAATATTCTTAAGAAAATGTTTAATATTCACGCTTTTATGCAACTGAGGGAGAGCATAGAGGACTTGTTATAGTCTAGATTTCCACCTAATTTTCCAAATCCCACTTAGGTAATTTGTCACCTAAGTCATAGAAGAGACAAAAAATAAGTTGACATTTCAAGTCACGAAGTGGAATCAATTATTTCAAATAAAAACGCATGCATGAGTTTGGTCTCCAGACTTTTGGAAGCTACTCAGAAGAAATGGTACGGGAAATTTGGAAGTAGGGACGGGAGGAATGTTAATAACTTTTAAAATATGACATTGTAAATCGAATCTTAACTTCGCATTAGCTATACATTAAAAAGGCAAAAAAAGAAATAAAAAATCGTCCAATTAGGAATGTGTACTTAACATTAGATACGGGGGTATATGCAGTTATGCACTAGTCTGTTTGTAGATCATGGGCCTAGTCTAAGAGACCATTTACTTTATCAAGTAAACATCATTTGCAGTTAGTAGATAGTATAGCATTTACGTAGCCAAGTTAGGAATGTATAATACTTGTCCACTTTCATTCTGTAGCTGACTCTACTCTAAGCGACAATGATTTTTATCAAGACATTAATTAAACATTTGCAGTTAGTAGATGGCATTGAAATGACGGTCCATTACTTTTTTCTTTTCAAAGAAAAAAATCTCAAGAAATAAAGTAGTACGTACATGTGTCATTATATGATGTATGATGTTCATCTATATTCATTTACGTTCGTGTTTCCTATCCACTGTCTTCCCTCAACAAACATACATCAAGTGCACACACTTGATAACATAAACACGTGGCAACTTGCAAATTTTGATCCTTATTAATATCTGCAACTACATTTACAGCAAAACCTGAACCCAAATTACATTAAAAAAATTACAACGTATCGTATATGAACATGATAAACTATGCACAAACGCAGGGAAAAAAATACTATAATCTGAAGACGTGATTATTAAACAGTTCATCTAACTAGATATTATACTTTATTAGATATCGAATGTGAACTCGTTATTACTTTATTAGAAAAAAAAGAACAAACAAACAAAAAAACTCTAAAAAAACTTTCTCCGAATAGATCCAAAAGAGAAGAGGACAATGTTTGGTTGTTGTTATGGTTGTTGTTATGGATCAGATCAAAAGGGAGGAAAAGTTTTACTGTATCTCCCAACATTGGAGAAAATTCCGACAAGATCTTGCTTGTACGGTAGATACGATCTTTTCTTGTCTTCTTCCTTGATTGCTTTGTTTCTCAAGTAAAACTTCTCATGTGCTGAAACTTTCTCCTTCTCCTTCTTCTTAGCCGTCGTCTTCGGAGAAGAAGATGGTTGTTCCTCCTCAAGGAACTTTAGTGATTGTTTCCCGTCGCTACGACTTCTCTTCAACAGATCTCTGATTCTCCACCGTCTCCTCATCCACGACGACGTCGAAGAAGACCCCGTCGATTTACTCTTTCTACATCCTCCGCTCGGAGACATTTCCGTTGATGATCTCTCCGGCGTCCATGGACAGTAGATCTCGCTAGGGATCGTGTCTAAATCGTCTTCTTCATCGTCTGAAGACGATGAATACGTCTGCGGCGGTGGTGGTGGTGGTGGCTGATCGTTGCGTTCGAGGAGGAAGAGATCTTTTAACGGCGTCACGACTGTTTCCGGTGATGAGAGGAGAGTCTGGTCGAAAACAGGGAAGACTAATCCACCACCGTTTCCGGGAGAAGAAGACTTATCCGTTTGTAGGATGGAGAATTCGAATTCTTCGTCTGCGTTGTCTTTGTAATCTTCGTTGCAAACTCGTGCGGCGATCTCGGCGAGGCCGGAGTAAGTGCTGAAGCTAGGTGAAAACGACGCCGTTGAGGGAGTATATTCATCTTTGTTCTCCATGTCTTTTCTCTTATTACTATCTCTTGTATGTGAATCTTTCTTTGTGTTCGTGTGTTTTGCAGTTGACAAACGAAGAGAGCGTGAGAGATATAGAGAGAGAGGTTTTGGAATTGTAATGGAGTTTTTTTTTTTTTTTTTTTGTCATCTTGTGTAAACAGGCGTTTATATAGGAGAAGTAGTTGGGGCACATGGGAATGGCAATTTTCTGTAATTATTAAGTAAAGATGCTTATTAATATGTTTATTTGCATCAAACTATATTGTATCAAGAGCAATAACGTGGACTTTCTAGAAGCGTATCCCGCTACTTGATTCGGAGGTTTTAGGTGTGTAGATATTTTTTTAATACATTGAAATCAGTTGACAATGATGTATATTTACGATGATAAACTATTTAAAATAAATACCAGCCAGCCACTTGTAATGAGAATAATTTACAATTTAATTTTCTTGACCATTTGCATTTTGTTATTTCAATATGTGGATTACGTCTGGGAAAAAAAAATTGATCCCGAAAATTTGAACCGAATTTGATTAAAAAAGAAATATCAGATCCGAATAGAACTTGGTTAAATATTTGAATATGTTCAAAATTTTGGTATTTAGATAATCGGAACCGAAGTCCATCCTAACCAAAATGTTTCAGGTATCTGAATCTATCGAAATCAAATTTATACAGTTAAATATATTAATTATTTTTATATTTAATATCCAATAAGATATCCAAAATGTATGAGATATTTTGACATTTTCCAAAAATATTTAGAAATATATAAAACACTTAAAAATACATATCTAAATTAGCTAAACAATATTCAAATACACAAATCATACTAAAAATATCTATTGATAGTCATCCAAATATACAATCTAAACCAACTTTTATGTTAAATTTATGTATTATGGCATTTATTACTCAAATTTAGATGCTATATATAAATTTTATTTTTTGAAAAATTGAAATATATATGAATTTTATAATTTTTAAAATAGTTTAAATGAATTATCCAAATCCGAATTACATCTAAAAAGATCCAAATTGAAATTTATAAATATCTGAATGGAGCTAAAAAATTAAAACTTAAAATCCGAATAGATCCGAATCAAACCCGAATGGATACCAAACATCCATATGGATATTATTTTTTTCGATATAAAGATGCATCAATCGTTGACAAAAAAAAAAGGATGGATCAATCAATCATCAATTGCGCTATGAAAACTTAGCCATGTTTAAGTAATTTTATTACTATTGTACAATCAATCAGAATACTTGATTGTAGTCCAGAACATAAAAAAGAAAGTATATCTATTAGAGCATCCCCATTGAAGGTTCATGGGGGAAGTTCACACGGAAATCAAGAAAAAATAAAAAATAAAAATCTATGAATCTCTCTCTCCTAAAGTTCACCGCGGTGAACCCCTCTCTCCTGAGGTTCAACACGTGACGGCTCGGAATTGGTCTAGATTTTTTTTTTGTTTTTTTAAAAAAAAAAATAAAAAAAAAACAGAATTTTTTTAATAATAAAAAAATGATTCAATGAACCCAAGAGGTGGTTCATTGATGTGGATGCCCTTAGTTTCATATGTGATGTATTACTATTTGTGGTGTTGAAAAGTTTGATTGTAGTCCAAGCAGCCCATTATGAGGAAATGCATACGTAATTGCTGACAAAACTAGAAGTACCAATAATCATGGCTGCTTCGTTGCATCAATTCTTTTCCTATATTATTTCTTTTCTTGTAATCTTAAGCTTCTCGAAAACGAAGGTTCCAATTTATTTATTTTGTTTAATTTACTCACGCATAAATATGATTCAAAGCAATAGACTCTCCTATTAAGAAATACGATCCACATGGGCACGTATACGTACATGGGCACGTATACGTATAAATACTTCTAGATGTCATTGTCACTTTCCTTGACCAATCTTATGAGCTAAGCTAACTTGACTTGAATCGCTATCAGAATCAAATCAAAGATCTTTTTTCATTTTATTATCTTCCACCGTTGGACCAACTCGTCACGTATGCGCATTAAATGTTAATCGACAGATATTATTATGTTTTTATTAGAGTAATTCTCAAATTTCAAATGCTGTTTAACAAATCATGCAGCATTAAGGAAAGAGAATACAATGTTGACGAAGGAAATAGTCAAAACTTATATCTATACAATACGAATAACACTATGAAAAACATAATAATGTTTCCAAGCTCATAATATTTTTTTTAAAAAATTCAAATAATGTGATCTGTTTCAATTATAGATGTATAACTACAAGTCTACAACATACAAATATAATTTAAATAAAATTTAAATCCAAGATCAGCCATAAAAACTTGTTAAATAAACAGCTAGGTATAAACTAAACACAATATATTTACAAAACATTGTAATTCACTCTTTACTTCAAATGTTAATTCCAAGAATCTCTTCTCGACAAGTTTGCCCTAAGATGATGCAAAGTAAACTCAACCTGCACAGGAAGCTCACCAGAAACAGCACTAGTCGTCCTAGTCCCACTCTCAAACCGTTCTGTTCTCCTCTGCTCAACAATAATGTCATGATACATCGGTCTGAACTTGATCTGAAACGCCCTGTAAGCGAAATACGGCAAGAGAGCAGAGAACGTGACAAGAACAAGAGTTAACCAACAGATGGGACTCGGTGCTGATGTCTCAACAAAGACTCGAAACGCTGTCGTTGAGAATGTAGGAGGAAGAGAACCGTAGATGACAAGAAACAGATACCAAACACCTATGCTTCCCCAAATGAAGCAGTGTTGGATCCATGTGAAGTAGTTTATAGATATCGCCATCTGGCAGTTTACTGTCCAGACCACGGAAGAGTACATTGTGACTCCGAGAACTGAGTAGTCTACTACTTGACCGTCTTTGCGGAAAGCTTGAGAGGCAAGTGTGTTGATTGTGAGGAAGAAGATGATCATTGAGCTTATGATTCCGTTTAGCATCCAACCAAGGATCCGTTCCCAGCTGAATAGTATGTTCTGTACTCCTTCTTGGTACAGTAACGGATACTGCAGACAACAGAAACAAGAAATTAGGCCTGGGCGTTTTAACCAAATCCGAAATTCGAGCCCAACTCAAACCAATGAAACAAAATCCGAACCGTTATAAAAAAATCCTAAATTAAGTAATTTAGATATTTTAAAGATTTTTGTGGCTTATTTATTTTCTTTTTAGTACTTGTTAGTTAGTTTAACTAGTTTTGAATTAGTTTTATACAGTGAAAACTATTTGGTCCATTTCATAATTTTTTAAAAAGATTTTATGAGGATTTCAAACATTGCTAATAAGTAATAACTCAATCCGAACTGAACCAGGAAGAAACCGAACTGAACCAAGAAGAAAATTAGTAAAATCCGAAAACCAAACTGAACCAGGAAGAAACCATACCAAATTTAGAAAAAACCGAACTGAACCGAGAAGAAAATTAAAGAAAATTAGTAAAATCCGAATGAGACATATGAGCATAGTAAGAAAAGGTGAATCAACTGAATCAAACGGGACATGTTTACCTTCAGACAAAGACGAGCAGAGACGTCTTGATCAAAGACTCCAAGAGCTATAACAGGAAGTGAAGTGAAGAAGACGTTGTAGCAAGACATGTACCAATCGTTATAAGCTGGTTTACCAGAGAAAGAAGCATAAGCTTCGTACCAAAACAACGTGAATCCGAACGTGAGGTTCTTGTAGAAGAAGTAACATATCTGAAGTTCACAAAAAATACAATCAGAAACAAAGTAACAAAGATTCAAAGTTCAGTTTATTAAAGTGTGTTACCATCATTGCTATTCTTCTATAACACCAATGGCCATGAACAAGCAACAAACGTTCCAGATACCGAAACTGAGCTATGGCAAAATCACTAGCCATCACAGCCTGTAAACAGAAAACTATGATCATTTCATAGTAAACATAAAGAATGAAATAAGCAAATATGTTACCTGCATCCCTTCAGCACCACTGATCCCAACTCCAATATCAGCTTCTTGAAGCATCCCGACATCATTTGCACCATCTCCAATGGCTAGTGTTGTTCTACCTGTCCCGCTTTTTACCAATCTTGTAACCTAAACATATATACTCTACCCTTATCAATCAGATTATTCTAATGTTAATGCAAAGTGTTTGAGATGAATCTTTACCAGAGCCTTTTGTTTTGGTGAAGACCGGCAACATATAACAGAACTACAACGACTCGCAAGTTCCAAGAACTCTTTCTCCAGCTTCTTGTCTAATGCAAAGGTTAAGGACTTCCCATCAATTACTAAACCAAACATCTTCTGATTTTCATTAGCTGAATTATTTGTTGCTGCGGCAGTTTGTGACATTCCATCTCGTAACTGTTTCTTAATGCTCTGAAAAGAAGCCTATTCACAATCATAAAGAGAACTCTCATTATTGCCTGATAAACATAGAAAGTCATAAGCTTATGTCCACGGCAAAAGAAGGCGAAAAAACTACCTTTGCAACAGCATCTTTGTCTCCTTGTTTCTCCAAAGTTTCAATGTCAGGTGAATCTAGAGTTATCATAATCTTCTCCATGCCTTCTCTTAACAGACTACAAGCATATCTGTCAACAACATCACAACTATTACATTTGAACTTATTACAGAACCCAAAAAAAAAAAGAGAAGTGTGTTGGAAGTACCCAATGTTTATTGCAGTTTCTGTCTTATCACCGGTTAAAACCCATATCTTGACCCCAGCCTGAGATAACTTTTCAATACAATCTGGAACCTTTTAAACAATAACAACAGAAGTAAGTCCAAGACAGTAACTAAAAAAGTAATCTATTGTTTTTTGTTTGTTATACTTACACCCTTTTGGAGTTTGTCTTCCACTGCAGTAGAACCAATAAGAATCAAATCCTTCTCAATCTTATCAGCAGCTGCATCTATTAAAGCATCTCTATCTTCAGTGACCAAAGTTTTAGCATTCAAAAACTCCTCTTCCCATATTCTGTACTCGTCTTCATCAACTTCTCTGTATGTAATCACCAAGGTTCTTAAACCTGCCTCTGCATACCTCTTGATGTGTTCCTTTGTCTCTCTCTCGTTTTGGCGTCCGTGTTTAGCAAGTCTTTCAAACATTACACTGACACACATAACACAGGAAGATATTTTCACTGAATCATATGCAGTTATATTAAATTTGAGAATCTTTAGAGAGTATTAACCTGTCTGCTCCTTTAGAAAGTAAAAATAACCGGTTCTCTGGATTTCTAACAATAACAGACATTCTTTTACGAGAACTGCTGAACTCTAGGACATGAAGTAGCTCATACACTCTGCAAAAAAATGTGATAAAATTTAGAAACATTGTACTCTCCTGTTAGCACAAATAAGATTTCGAACATAACTTCCAGTACCTGTCTACTTTTTCACCAGTCATGTAGTCAATTTCATGCAAGGAGATATTAGTTTGAGACCTTGCAAAGAACTCAAACCCAAGCTCTCTAGAAGCTATAACAAAAGCCGCTTCATCAGGAGACTCAGCTTCATAACTGATCTCTCCGGTATCACTATCCACATCAGGGATAGCAGTATGGCAAATAGCCAACACCCTAAAGAACTTCTGAATGAGTTCTGCATTTGGTTGATTAACCCATTGCCCATCTACTATCCTCTCGTCCCAGAAGTTAAATCCCTTAACTGACTTTGTTGAGTTCGCTTTTATATCCTTAATGGATAAAGAATCTTCTTCTTGAGGTGTCATACTCATACCCTTTTGTTTTCTCAAGGCTACTTCTACTTCAGTCATACCACGGCCATAAGCAGTTCCAGCTATAGAACATTTCACAAACTCCATTGAGTTGCAAGTAAGAGTACCTGTTTTATCCGAGAGAATCGTGTCTACTTGACCGAGTTCTTCATTGAGATTAGAAGTTCTCGCACGAGCAGGCCTGTCTGTTTCCTCGTGGTACATTTCTTGATCTTGATTGATAAAAATACTCTGTAACACCTTCACAACCTCAATTGAAACGTATAGTGATATCGGTATTAAGTAACCGTATAGCATCAGAGCCGTCAAGAAATGAAAGAAAGCAGCAAGAACCGCTCTCTGTGGTTGGTAAAAGACAGTAGTCTGGTCTGGTCTAAGATACCATCTCCTCATCTTCCCATCATCAGTTACATCTCTTCTAGTTATAATCCCAAAGAACACAGAACCAGTGAAAGCTATCACAATCAAGATACTGAAGAGGATGTAAATAATCTTATCCATTTTCCTCTCAATCTTACTCCTCTTTGAAGGAGGATCAGTAGCATTCTGCATCACTTTGGTGTCATGACCCGTGAAGACAACAACCCCATAGATGTACTCAGTGTTTCTCAGCTTTGAGTCTCTTAAAAGTATCTGCTGAGGAGAGAGAGGGTACTGCTGTCCTTGGAAGTGAAGCGTTCCCACAAAGGAGTAGAGATGCTCATTAGGATCTTCACATTTAATCACTCCCCTGAAATTCTTGACAGACTCTTCTTCATCTGATGTGATCTCTAACGCATGCTTTAGCTTCAAGTTAGTCTCTCCGTCTAGATTCATAGTCTCAACGTAGCAAACTCCATCTTCATAGCTAGATGAGAGAAGGAGAAGATCAGCTGGGAAGTACTCATCTTTATAAACCTTCACAAGATCACCAACTCTAAGATTCTTCCACTTAGTTTCACTAAATTCACCGTTCTTACCAAAAACTTTAACTCTCCTGTTGTTAGCTTCAATGTCTTGTCTCCTTCTCCTCAAATCTTCAACACCTTCTTTAACCATCGTAGCACCAATCACAAACAAGAGCGGTGCAAGGACACTAGGAGCGGTATAAGGAGCTAAAGGGCTAAAGGAAACAAAAGCAACAACTAGAAAGTATATGTTTGCAACTCTTCTAAACTGCTCAAACAATGACTTGGGGATGAAGTTGGTAGCTGTGTACTTAGTGGTGGAAACGTAGTTCCCTCTGTAGTTAAGCTGAATAGCCTCGGGGTTATCGGGGTCATTACAGAAGACAACTCTAGAGTAGCCTCTTGAACCGATTTGAGAATGGTCTTCTTTAGAGAAAGGCTTGAGGCATTTGAATGAGTAGAGTTTGCTCAAACGCATCCCTTTGTTTCTTCTCTCTCCAGCCATCTTGTAAAATAAAGAAAGTTCAGATCTTTCTTTAAAAAGACAGAACAGAACACTCTGTTTCACTACTCAAATCCAGAAAGGAACCATTTTTTCTTGTGGAATCAAACAACAGATCATGAATCCATGGACTAATGCAGTAGCTGAGGAAAATCTAGAAGGTAAACAGAGAACAGTAGCTATCAATTTCAATAGGAAACAAAAAATAAAAACATATATAATAATTATAAATTAAAAAAAAAAAAAAACATGTTTGAAAGATCCCTTACTTGGTCCCAAATGTTGCCAAGATCTAACTCCTTACAGAGAAACAGAGAGAAAATTAAAATAAAATAAAAAAAGATGCTAAAAAGGAAGGTGTGAGCTTCCTTGCTTGCTCTGAACACAGTACTCAAACTTTGCCTCTTTGCTAAGTAAACGACACGAGAGAACGACGGTGAGCATTTGCTATTTGTTATTTTCACTTTTTTTTCTTCTGTCTTTATCTTTATCTTTAATTTTTGAATTTTTCTTTTCTTTTTTTCTTCTGATGTTTATTTGTGTTATTTTTTTTCTGTACGAATCCGTGAAGACTTGATGACATTTGTCAGTCTTCGGACGAGTCCAACGTGACAATATGACACGTGACTATATCTTAAGGTATTCCTGATTTGATTACTTTGAAAAATATGTAACGGTGTTTTTTGTAGGTGTAGGTTAGCATTGCACCGTTTTTCTTCTAGCTATTTCCACTTTAGGAAATTTTGCTGATTCATTACACAATCAGTACTTGTCATTAATTAGGTTTGGACCATTACTTTTTAAGAAAAGATAAAGAAAAACTTAAAAAGCAAAAATATAGTATAAGATTAGATGCAATACTTCCTCACGCTAAGTTGTAGTTTGAGTAATAAAATAACAAAAATGTTAACTTATATGGAATTTGTGTTTGATTTTTTTTGTTATATTCAACACCTACCAGCCTCCCTCGCCTACTCGTCGTTAATCATCTATTTTGTTTGTTAGTAACTTTACAACTTTTTCTGAACAAAAAAAAAATTACAATTTTTTTCAAACGAATTTCAACTAACATTGGATTTTACCAAAAAAAAACTTCGATATATACAGTAATACAGAAAAACATATCTGGGCTTTTGAAATCTGTCAGAAGGTTATCTCAAGCCCAGTAGACCTGCTTGGTCTTGGGCACATTGCTTCTCATAGTTAGCACAATCTTCTACTACCAGAATAATCCAATGTAAAATTTACACGATAGACCTCTATGTGGCTGCATGTAGGTCAAAAACTAATAAAGTATTCACTGGCGCCTACCTCCAGAGGTAGTGGCTAATGACAGGCCACTGAACGATTAGGTGATAGTTAGTTGTTCTTAGTGATTATTGTTAGTTGGCATTAATCGTCATTGAACCTCCAGAGGTAGTATACACAGCTAGACTTGGCTATAGTTAGTTGTTCTTAGTGATTATTGTAATTTTTTTTTTTTGAAATATTATTATTAATCTACTCGAAAATTGGGAATTCAAGTTTTGGTTACAAACGTGATTCAAACAAAATGATCTAAATTTATCGAAACATCCCTAGTTTCACTCAACCATCAGGTGCGTTCCGCTAAGTAGTTCCGACATGTTTAAGATTATCATTTCTCATTCTCAACCTTTGATAGTAATCACTTGAGGGTGGCGTTCACCTCGGTTACCGATACATTTTTTGCCATCAACAAAGTAACTGGATCATGACGATTTCCTCATGCTTGCAATCTCTACTGGCATTTAAGCGCATAAGCTGGATGAATAAGACTCGAGAGAATCATACCTGAAACCGGATCGAACGCCAAGACTAGTTCATCCAACATCGAACAAAAACCGGATTGAGCTGAGGCCATCTAATCAAGTGGAGAGATACCTGCAAAAGAAGAAAGGAAGTATCCTATCGGAGCTTTCAAAGATCAAGACTCCGATATTGGGATAGACACACTCCAAGCGTGAAGCCACAGACAAAGAGCTGGAGCTCCGGAGACTCACGAAGCACAACTATCGTCCACACACTCCACCTCTTAGAACAAGAGGATGGTTCTTCAAATTTGAACTCGAAACGTAGTCGAATAGTGACTGACGATGGTTACCAATTATGAAGACCAGAACCCGACATCACTCCACCTAGGATGTGTACTTTCGGTGGAGAGAGAACCACAAGACAAGCCGTGGTCTGAAGGCGAAGAACAAAGCAAAGAACAAGAAGATGACGCCAAAGCGTAGACAACTCCATGCGTCACCATACTGGAAGCTTTGCACATGTTTTTGGAAAGCTTCAACCCGACACCACCAGGAGAAGAGGAACCTGCCAAGATGGAGAGACCCGTCGAAGTTTGAACTGAACAGGGTCAAAAGCTCCTCCTACACCGAGGATCCCAAATAGCATGAACAATCGGTCTTACATGTAAAGGGTCTCGCCGACCACCAGGCCGTGAGGCTTTCCCAGTGCCACCCCTCACACTGACCGTACTTCCGGCAACCATAACTAGTTCTTCGAATAAGATTGGGTTGCAGGTTCACTCTCGTCCATGCTCAAGGGGTTCCTCCAGCCGTCCTTCTGAAAGGTCCTCACCGACTTTCTCTTTAGTCGATCATGATGGGAAGATCCATCTGGGCTGCAGGATCTTCGGCTCTGTCTATTAGACAAAGCGGAATCCAATACAAATTAAGTGAAAATGATGGCCAATTGAATCAATAGTGATTTTGATATAATCAACATGTTATTTTTCTTTTATTTATATAAAAATAGAGACGAATTACACCGAATGCTCCTATCTCTCAGCAAAGATTGTGTGAATGTGCAGTTATGCTTCCGTGGACCGTGGTATCCTGACGTCCCTCCCGCTACGGCTCGCTGTACATTCCTTTAGCTGTTGTTTTCGCTTTGCTTGATTAATAGTTGTGGGAATGCGTCCTTTGTCCGCTTCCCTTTCCTTGATTGTGTCTGTATTACAGAGCTTTGGCAACCACCGAGGCATAGAGTAGAAAGCCAACACTACCATTCCACACCGACAAAGACCGACAGATCTAGGTCAGGAGAGCCAAACAAAAAGACACGAACCTCCAGCTCTGGCTAGACCTAAATCAAGCAAAGATAAAATTGTCGATCTGGATCTAGCCTCCGAAAAAGCCAACCTCACCACACCCTATCTACCTTAACCTCGTCCCCATTCCGAAAGAAGCAGACCGCCATACAAAAATTTTACCAGCATCGCAAATCTGTAAATCTGCGAACAATCCAACTTTCTAGAACCTAAACATATCAGAGAAGAAGATATAAGAAAGATGAGCCAAAGTTTAACAGCAAGAGAGGTAGGAGGATCCGCCGGTGACAGCGACAAGCCGAAACCAGAGGAAAGCTAAAACCCGCCGACAAAGTTTTTTGAGACAGCTTAGGAGAGAGAAGGACGAGACACCCTTTCTGATTCTTGTAATTCTTCTTAATTTAGACCAACTTACTGTATTACTTTTACATTTTTTCTGTTTTCATAGTACAAAATTCTTCACAAATAGCATTATAACTCTTTTCTTAATTGACAGAACTACGACATAGCTATGTAATATTTTAACTTGTTTATCCATTTAACTTGTAATATCTACGCCCAGTTAAAATATTTATTAAATACATAAAGATGCATGACACATCATTCAAATCCTTGAAATTTTATAGGTCAAAGAATGTTTAACAATCTAAATTAGATTCAAAATCAATACTACTCATGATAAACTTAATTTTAATTTTAAGACCTTTGCCAAAATTATGCTAAATATCCTCGTAAGTTTCAAGATTAACTGTTATGTTTTGTAATGAATCCGTCTGTTGGATTCAGTAATATCTCTTTCAAACAACTTAAAGAAAGCAAATGGAGGCTCAGAGTTGTGCGTAATGTGCTCAAAGAAGAGTTTATCAGACTCTCCTCATACAAGAGGTGTCAGAAATTATTAAGCATTAATCATCCTCGCCCCATACAAAATTAAACTAGGTAGTACAAAATGATCGATTTACAGGAATAAAATTTGCAAATCCTGCTTCTTTATAAAAATGGTATCAACAAAAATTGACTGTTTAGACCAAAAAAAAAACAAAAATTGACTGGAAGAACTAAATCTTAAAAAATAACATCAAAAAACATATAATCCAAATCATACTTTCAACTGAAATAAATTGATTGGAAGAAAAAGGGGTGGAGATGCTCATATTCTATGGGTGTAATGTGAGTCTACAAAGCCAGAGGCTATTCAGTACGAGGAATTACTTTTACAATCATCGCATCCTCTTTCCCTAATTTTCCAAAAACAATTCTATAAAACAAAATTAAAACGAAATACCAAAAAAAAATCAGACTAACTAATCTGAAAGAAAAAATATAAGGTGGCTCAGAGTATTTGCATAATGTGCTCAAAGAAGAGTTTATCAAGCTCTTCTCATACAAGAGGTGTCAGAAATTAAGCAGTAATCATCCTCGCCAATTAGAATTCATATAAAACCAACAATCAAAACTAATGAACAAGAAAAACAATAAGAACAGACAAGCGGCGGAGAAAAGACGCATACAAATTAGGGTTTTGATTTCAGCTGCTGATGTAAAAAGAAAACGACTCATGAACCGTATTTATAAATACTCAATGGGCTTATATTCAGTATTAGGCCTATCACTTCTTTTTTGGCAATAAACAGTACTCACTTAACCGCCTCATTTACCGGGTTTACGATGGATGCTACTTGGTAGGTTATTGGCTGATTGCTACTTGGTAGTATATAATTATCACAATATTCGGATTAAAAGGCCCGTTGGGCCGAAAAGGTAACCCATAGTTGTTACAGATTTTTCTTCTGCCTAAATTAGGCTCAGTGCTCCCTAAAATAAGCTAGTGTCTTCAACTAATAAACAAACACAAAAAGTTGTAAATCAAAAATACAAACAAACACAATATCCTAGTTAGCAAGATTCATGGGAGGAATCAACAGTCATCTTCCTTACCTTGTCCAGCAAGTTTCTTGATTCCTCTTCAAGTCTCATCTTCAACTCTTCCGTAACCTCTCCTCTCTCTGTTTCCTCCAGCAACGCTCTCATCTCTTCAAGCTTATTTTTCAACCACTCCATTTCCATCACACCCTTTCTGTTTTCACCTTCCTTCTTCTCGTTTCCGTTTCTTTTGTGAGCTCCATGATCATATGTGAAACTTCGGTAAATGGACACAAACCCTCTTATCATATCATAAGAGCTTTGACTCTCTTGTGAATATTTTGTGCTGAGAGCTGCTACTCGGATTAGTTCCACTATTTCCTCTGTTGCAGCTCCAAACTTCAAGAAACTAATGGCCTTTTCAGCAGAATGCTTCATCACTCGCTCTGCTGATTCAGATTCTAGTTTGTTCTTTTTCCTTCTCCAACTAAAATCTGTAATGTAATCAGGAGAAAGATACTTGCTCTTCTTCCTCTCTCTCTTACTTCTTTGCATTATAGTCTCACCACTTGAAGAAACATCATCAACCTTTACCCTTTTGCAGGGTGAAGCCAGTGGAGTTGATAAATCAACAACTATATCAATACCTGACTCCTCTTTCTCCTCACTCTCTTCTATATTACTCACTCTTCTCCTCAAAGTCGTGACTGCTGCTGCATCAGCAAAAACTTCATCACCACGTTTCCTCTTTTTACTAGCCAGCTTAGAGCATTTTCTTAATGATCTCTGGCAAGAAGAGTTTTTGAACTTCAATGTATACTCATCCTCTTTGTCTTCAAGTCCTATGATATATGGATCCTCATCATCATATTTAGCTAAACAAAACCTTCCTTTAGACCGATAAAACGCTGATATTTTCCTCTTCAAAACCTCAATCTCTAACAAATCACTAAAACTAGCTTCCTTCGCAAGGCTTTTAACATCTTCAAGAACTATCCCAGGTCTTTCAAGAACCAGAGACCTTATAGTCTCTCTTCTAACATCAGGTACAAGAACTTCTTTTTTTACTCCACAATTCACAGCTACAGAACTAACCAGAGGCTCATCACAAACCAATAGGTTCTCCACATGTTGACCAATCTCTCTCACAGATTCTTTCACAGCACTGAGAAAGCTAGTAGACTCGCTAGTCTTTGAAAACTCTCTGAAATTCTCTATAAACGGTTTAAGCTGCGAAGGAGTGCACCAAGCAAACGTCTCTTTCCGACAAAACGCAACGAGTAATGTACCTTTCTGAATTTGCTTCAACGCTAAGTTAGAAGCATCTGAAGGATCATAAATCTTCCCAGGCCACCATTGATGACGATTAATGACTCCTTGTACCCACACAAAGTCTCCTACATGGAACACATTCTCTTCTTCAAAACCATCTCTGGAATGATCTTGGTTTGTGTTGAGCAACGAGGAAGCTTCACTCATCACATAATCTTCAATTGGTCCAGAGTCGTTAACACTCTCCATCTTGACATCGGATTTGTCCTCATCAGAAGAACCGTTCAAATCATCAGTTTTTTCTCTGTTTTCAAAAACCCTAAAAGCGGTCGTTAGGAAATTTCCCATTGAACCCTAAAGATTCTTCTCGTTCACGCAATACAACCTCTAGGCTACAGCAAAAGCAAAACTAAACGTTCAGAAGAAGACAACGACAACGATCAGAAGACAACTAACAAACAAATAAAGGCTTCTCCTTCACGAGAAAGTAGACAAAAAAAGAATTTTTGCTAAGAAGTTGACAAACTTTAACACATTGAGAAGAACAAGAACATTTAAATTACCTAAAGAAACGAGAAGCGTAGAGAACTTGCAATCTAGAAAAACACCTTCTTCTTATTCGTTTCCTGCGGCGCAAAGTTTTCGTTTTTTTTCCTTTCTAGAGTTGAGGAAATAATAAGGAAAATAATTAAAAAGGGTATATTTGTGATCGATGCTTTTGTTTTGTTAAAACTATTTTATTACAAACTTTGTTTCGTGTTATCACGTCGTACGTTATTATTTATTTTTTTCCGACATCATGTCAATAGGTACGTTCTTAACCAAAAAAAAAAAAAACTAAAACACTTGTTTTCTGACGTCAAGCTATGCGTCTACGGTCAACCTCTCTTTCTTTTTTCCCGACCGACTTTGCGATTAGATTCAGACATGACTATGTACAAACGCAACCATTATGTATTATTTATGTGCATCTAATCTGTCTACCGCTGTTTCTTTTCCCGATTCGTTTTTCTCTTTTTTCTTCTTCTTTTTACGGTTAGATTTAGACAAGAGTGCTGAGTTTACAAAACTACACTATAAGACCATGTGCATCGGTGGGAACGTGGGGATCCTTAACCACCGGTCCATCGAATTAGGCATTTTTTTTATATTATTTAATCCCAAATGGCTAAGGATCAATACGTAAATAAGGATTTATTTTCGTTGATCCTTAGCCACGTGTCACGTTGTGGTTGGTCGGTTTTTGATAGGGTTTGGGTTTTGTCGCGAAAAAAAGTCATTTCGATCGAAGCGGAGAAAAAAAAATTGGCTCTGGAGAAAAGGCGATTTCGGAGAACTCGTTCGAGAAAGGTAGATCGAAGGTTCATGTTGCTGATTTATGTGTTTAGATTAGGTCTTTTGTTGTTTTCTTTTCAATTTAGGGCTCGGTTTTCTCGTTTTCGATTGATTTGTGTTTTTCAAATTAGGGTTTCGAAGGATTTGGGATTTCAATCGAACTTTTGTGATTTAGGGTTTGAAAACGATTTAGGTTTCCATCAATTTCTGGATATTCTCCTGTGCTTTGTAATTGAACTTTTGGGATTTAGGATTTCAATCGAACTTTTGGGATTTAGGGTTTGACAACGATTTAGGTTTGAAATCGATTTCCGTTTTAAAATCCCTCTGTTTCTGTATTGATCCATGATTGTCTGTGTTTCTGTATTGCTTCGTGTCTGTAGTTTTTCGGTATTGCTCTCTGGTTTTGGTATTGATCCGTGATCCGTGATTGTCTGTGTTTAGTTGTTTCGGTATTGCTTCGTGTCTGTGTGTGTTGTTGTCTCTGGTTTCCTTAGGATTTCTTTAACACACAGTTTGATTGTTGGTTATAGATTGAGAGCACTAACTATTGTTATTACATGATTTCTTTCAGGTTTACTCAACATGGGACAAGACTATTCGTACANCTGGTTTCCTTAGGATTTCTTTAACACACAGTTTGATTGTTGGTTATAGATTGAGAGCACTAACTATTGTTATTACATGATTTCTTTCAGGTTTACTCAACATGGGACAAGACTATTCGTACACCCAGCCTTCCTCATCATCAGAGTTTGACATCACGTCACTTCTTGAAGCAGAAGCTCAACTCTACGCGGATGAAGCATCGAGTAGCAACTTTGCAGAGCCGGGTCAGTACACATCTCAAGTTGAGGCTGATGCTGGAATCCCTACCAGTTGCTACTGTGGTGGTGAGCCTGCTGTTGGTATATCCTACACGAGCAAACATCCAGGGAGGTTGTACTACACGTGCGACAATGTGGACGACGGGGAGTGCCACATTTGGAAGTGGTGGGACGTGGCTGTCTCAGAGGAGATGAGTGAGGTGCAGAGACAAGTTAGACACCTTAAGGATCAAGGTTTTCAATGTGATGAGAAGGTGGTCAAGGTACAGAAGACCGTGTGGGAGCTTCAGAAGACCGTGTGTGAGCTTAGGAAGACCGTTCGAGAGCTAAAGACCGTTTGTGTAGTCGTCTCCGTATTAGCTGCTATAGGTTTGGCGGTTATGTGTGTGACTGGTAAGTACATCTCTTTTGTTTTGGTTGTTCTTCATGCAATTTAAGTAACACTATTGACTCTTCGATCTCTTGTTTTTTGCAGGAAGAGCTTCAATGGTCTAAACCACATGTCGGCATAATTAGGTACAACACTACAACTTCGTTTAATAAGGTTCAACATTAATATATGAAACTTTATATAAGAACTAAAAATAAATGAAACTTTATATAAGAACTAAAAATATATGAAACTTTATATAAGAACTAAAAATAAATGAAACTTTATATAAGAACTAAAAATATATGAAACTTTATATAAGAACCAAAAATAAATAAAATGATATACTTTAACATAAGAACTAAAATTAAATAAAAAGATTTACTTTAATATAAGAACTAAAATTAAATAAAAAGACATACTTTAATATAAGAAGTAGTCACTAGTTAAGATGCAAGTACTTACCGTAAATGGTAACTAGTTACTACTCTTTAGATGTAACTTACTTCTCTTTACTTATTTATATGGAACTAGTTACCGTTATAGAAACTAGTTACTTTAGTTGTAACTTTAGTTTAGATGTAACTTTAGTTTTATATGATGTAACGTTATAGAAACTAGTTCACGTTTAGATGTAACTTCTCTTTAGAAGAGTGGTTGCTTCCTACCGCCTAAGATGTAGTTGTTTTTAATGTTTTAACAGCTTTAAATTAGGATGTATGTGTGATTTGATTGCTGTTTAATGCAACCATTGAGCTTTCTATCTTCCTATCTGCTTCGTCTTTATTGCCTTTAAGGTTGCCTACTTAAGTCGTTGTGTTGCTATTATAGTGACACAACCGAGTCTCTAAACATGGATAACAACTCTAGCTATGTTAACCTTCTGTTTAGCCAAACCCAAGCATCAGTGGACCTTGATTCACCCGAACCCTTTTAGTTCGGTAGCCAAGGTCCGGATCCGTCTCCAAGTGTCGACTCTAGTGCTCTCTCGAGGAGGAAGTGGTGCCCGAGGGAGGATAGAATCCTCATTTCTGCGTGGCTTAACACCAGCAAAGATGCGGTTGTGGGCAATGAGCAGAAAGGTGTAGCGTTTTGGAAGAGAATAGTTGACTTCTTCAACGCAAGCCCTCAATTCGTGGGAGAAACACCGAGAGAGCTTGGTCAGTGCAAGCAGAGGTGGGCTAGGATCAACGAGCAAGTCTGCAAATTCGTTGGTTGCTATGACGCGGCTCTGAGGGATGAGAGGAGTGGTCAAAGTGATGATGACGTGATGAATAAAGCCCTAGACAACTTCAACAATCAGTACAAGGTCAAGTTTAGTATGGAACACGCCTGGAGGGATTTGAGGCACGACCAGAAATGGGCCTCCACCTATCTCTCTAAGGAAAAGCGCAAAGGGGTGGAAGTTGATAGAGCAGAGGAAGAAGAAGTGGGACAAACAGAGGGTCGTCCTATGGGTGTCAAGGCTGCTAAAGCTGCCACGAAGAAGAAGAAGAGTGCTCGAGAAGAGTCACTCTCTCAGTTACAAATCATCTTCGAAATGAAAGAGAAGATCCAAAACAAGAAGCTGCTTGACCGTCTACTCGCCCAAAAAGAGCCACTTAGTGAGCTCGAAACAGCTCTTAAAATAAAGCTCATGTCTCAGATGATATGAGTTTAGGTAAATTGAGTTTATGTTTGCTTCTAGGTTACGTCTCATGTCTAGTTTATGCTTGCTTGTAGTTTATGCTTGCTTCTAGTTTAAATATGTTTGCCTGTAGTTTATAGTTGCTTCTAGTTTAAATATGTTTGCTTGTAGTTTATAGTTGCTTCTAGTTACATCTTTCAGTTTATGTTTGTTTCTTTAATACTTGTAAACTAACTATTGTCTTATTTTTGCTGAGTTGTAACAGGCGTGGAGCAGTAGGCATGTGAAGGAAGTCACGGGTGGATTTGATCTTTTGGTCTTTAGCTGCAAGTGGAGAAGTCACGGGCTCTACTGGTTAAGTTTATGTAGTATAAAGTAGTAGTGATGGGTTCTTTAGTGTTTTACCTTATGAAAAACTTAGGTTCTCTATTATTCTAGCGGCGAGGTTGTATTTTGGGTTCTCTAGTATCACTTGTGGAGGTTGTATTCTGCTAGCTCAAACTCTGTCTGAAGTTCTTGTTCTCTTCCATCTCCTTTTGTATCACTTGTGTTTTAGGTACCAAATTCTGGCTCTTTTCTTTGACTTAATATGTTGTTGATTGAAACTTGTAGTATTTGAACATCATGTATTCGAACTTGTAGTATTTGAACATCATTTCTTTGCCCATATGTTGTTAACGTGTAGTATTTGAACATCATGGATGGTAAATACAAGAATGTTGAGCTTAAACTTTACCAATAAACACTAAAGTACATCAACATACATCTGCGACATTTCATTGAAGGAATAATCCAGATATTTGGCGAGGAGTATCTACGAAGACCCACACGAGAAGATCTTCAGCGGCTACTCGATATTGGAGAGAGACGCGGGTTTCCTGGTATGGTCGGAAGCATTGACTGTATGCATTGGAAGTGGAAAAATTGTCCAACCTCTTGGAAAGGACAGTACGCCCGTGGTTCAGGAAAACCGTCAATTGTCTTGGAGGCTGTTGCTTCACAAGATCTTTGGATATGGCACGCGTTTTTTGGTCTTCCAGGTACCTTAAACGATATTAATATCCTCGATCGGTCTCCTGTTTTTGATGACATTGTTCATGGTCGGGCTCCCACGTTAGAGTACATGGTCAACGGACACAAGTATAATTTGGCGTACTACCNTTTGAAGAAGGAGATGAAACAAGAACTTCACGGGTGAATGTTTCTTATAGTAGGTACACACCTCCAAGTATCGACGAAATGCGTGGCGTTCGGATTCATATTCGCGATCGACGTATCCATGACCAATTGAAGAATGATTTAATAGAAAATATTTGGAACAAATTTGGTTATGAAGATTAATAAAATATTGTTGTATTTTTTTTTATCATTTAATAAAATAAATTTTATAAATTTTTTTTTTTAAAAAAAATATATTATTTTATTCATAAGGATTCCGGATTGGAGAACACCAATGGACTTGAAAAACGGATGAAGATCCTTAACTATTCAGAAAGTACAAAAAAATATTAAAAAAAGGCTAAGGATCAATTGGTTGATAACACCAATGTGCATGCTCTAAGATCTGTTGTAGAAGCGTATCGGATTCATCACACAAACGCAACCATCATATTTTGTTACTTCTAAGCTAAACATTTCAACAAACACCTTATGTGCATCTAACGAAACCAACCTTCCAACGCAAAAACAGTAATGGAGAAAGCAAATTGATTAAGATTTCAACAATTGCAAAACGCAAACTATACTAACAACAAGAAAAGATCCATGAAACTCCGAAAAAGAACACATTTTTTAATTGATTAAAACACTTTTAAGCAATGGAAACCTTAGCACCCGCCTCTTCAAGCTGCTTCTTAGCCTCCTCAGCCTCATCCTTCGTCACACCTTCCTTAAACTTCTTCGGTAACCCTTCAATCAACTCTTTCGCCTCCTTCAACGCCAAGCTAGTCAACGCCCTCACGGCCTTAATCACCGCGATTCGCGAGCTACTCGGCACCTCGTTAATCACCACGTCGAACTCCGTCTGCTCCTCGGCCACCGCCGCCGCGCCGCCGCCGTCTCCGGGAGCAGCGACAGCCGCTGCAGCGGGAGCTAGGGAGAGCGGGGAGACGCCGAACTTGTCTTGGAGGTAGTCGACGAGGATGCGCGCTTCTTCGAGGGTGAGGGACGAGATTTCGGATCCGATTTTCTCGATTTTTTCGGGGGCTTCGACGGCGGAGATGGGGCGGAGGTGGGTTGCGCGGTGGGTTAGTGTGGTGGCGGGAGAAGAAGGGCCGAAGCGGAAGGTGGATCGAGAAGGGAAGTGGTGTGTGGAAGTGAGAGTGGGAGGAGGAGAGGAAAAGAGTGAGCTTGCGATGGAGAGAGTTGTTGCTGCCATTGTCACTACTCTCTTCCTGATTTGTTATGTGTCTCTCTGTGTGAGTGTGTTTGTATGAGATGAAGAAAGGTGAAGATAGGAAAATAAAAGGATAAGGGGTAGTTTGGGTAATAAAATAGATGCGTACGTCTGCTATCATGCGCTTATTGAGATATAGATGAAGGAAAAAAATGGGGCGTTCCGAGAATCGAACTCGGGACCTCTCGCACCCAAAGCGAGAATCATACCACTAGACCAAACGCCCTTGATGAGATTATTAGCTTTGATATTTTCCTGGTTAATTTGGAAACTTATATTCAAAAATGTGAATAAATAGAACAAGTTTGGGTTTAGATTATGTTTAGAGTATTTCCAATGTAGAATTCCATTTTTACTCAAAAATAGAGTAACAGAGTTCATTTTACTTTAAATCAACTTAATTTTGGAACAAAAATTAAATAATAAACAAACAAAAATGAGGAGGAATTCTGAATTCAAATAAATCTTAGTCATTTATTACTTTAAGCTCTACTTTAGAATAAAAATGAAATGAAATTGGAGATGGTCTTGGTTTTTATTCATAAAAGACTATCTAGCATAATATATTCAAGTATTTTATAGATCGGATTTGAATTCAAGTTTTCTAGATTCGAATTCAGTACAAATACTTTGAATTCAAGTTCGTAGTAGAACATTTTCTTTAAGTCAACAAGTTTATATAGTGGAAACATTCTTTTAACTCAAAAGAAGCATATAATAATCGTATACCAAATGTAATCACATTGAGTAGTTTCGATTTCTCTCCCCTTCCCCCTATTATATATTCCCACCAATGCTACAAACAACAGCAAATCCCATTTTCAATGAATCCAAAGAGAGCTTTTCACCACCTACGGCGTCTTCTCCCATACCAAAACGCAAACGCAGCCACAGAAGCAGCAACAACTACTCCAGTCGCCGCGTGCCATACATACAAAGGCTTCTCCATCATCACCACTCTTGAAGCCTGCCTCACCAGCTCAGAGCTCGGAACATCCTTAACTTCAGGAACTATATGCTGACTCACCACTGTCTGAGCAAACCCGAGTCCTTCTCTTTCAAGTTCTTCCTTATCAGTCACTGCTGGTTTCAACTGTGTCGCCTTCGAGATAGTTTCATATTCTTCTTTAGTCCCTCCTTCGAGAAAAGACCCAACGAGGTGACCCTTTTTAATCCAATACGCTCCAAAGGCTTTACCGTCTTCGTACTCCCCAAAGTGCACAACTTCACCCACAGGGTCTCCGTAGAACTGCCACGAGAAGGCAAACATCCTTGAGTAGAAAAACGGCAGGTAGTCGAATTCTCCAGTCTTTTCTGGCTCCATGATGGCTGAAACTGCGTGCCGTGCTGATTTCCTAGCCGAGTCCACATGCTCAAGCCTTCTCATTTCTCCAAATAGTTTCACTGGGAATGTAGCTACGTCGCCTATTGCATACACTGAGCTGTCACTTGACTGCATTTTGCTGTTCACTTTTATCCCTCCTTTCTCTATTATTAGCTGTCCTTCAAACAAGCTTGTGTTTGGTCGTATTCCGATTCCAACCACCACCAAATCTGCTGGTAAATGGTTCCCGTCTTTGAGATTAACAGCAGTGACCTGCATATCGAAATCACAAGAAGTTCATATCAGTAAACAAACACAGCGAACAATGCTCAAGATTATTTTCATAGTTGGATCAGAAGGCTCCTCTATTGCAAGGTAGGAAAATTATATAACCTTTTTATCTGAGTCAAACTCAAATGATGTCAAAACCGTTCCTTTGATGAACTCCACTCCTTTAGCCCTGTAGTATTCTTCATACAAACTTGCAATCTTGGGCGTAAAGAGACGCGCCACTGTCATAAGAAACTGAAAAAGGTCAAGCCTAACTACACAGACACAAAGCTTTTCTCCTTTACAAGTTGACTAAAAAATCAAGAGTACTTACTGCAGTGAGCCTCTGGAAAAACCATGGTCACATTGATTTTGTTGATCACTAAAGATGCAGCACACTCCATGCCGATATAGCCACCACCGATTACAACAGCATTTCCATCGGCGCTTGATTCGATCGCAGTGGCAAGCCTATTTGCGTCACTCAGATCTCTCAAGTAACAAACATTTTCAGCATCTGAGCCTTCCACCCCAAATTCTTCGAGCTTTAACGCCTGCTTGCACAAGACACATGTGACAAGAGTGTAAGGCAAGAAAAATGTTCAGGATTGAGCAGATGATAAACTAGTGTTCACAGCATCTAACGCACGTTCAAGAATTACATAACCATTGACTTCAGACAATTCAAGACTTAACTGATAGTCTGATAATAACATATTATAACATCTCAAGATCGATTACTTGATGGTGAGAACCAGTAGTTTATCATATACGTTAATGACATTTTCTCACCCGCATACACTCATACTTTGGAAAAACGAAACCATATATATCATAGTGCAATTCATACCCTGGCACCTGTGGCAATGATCAAGAATTTGTAACTTATAGTCTCTCCAGTGCTCGATAAAAGAGTCTTCCTCCTCACATCAACGGACTTGACACGAGTTCCAAGGACTAATTCAATTCCTGATCACAAGCATTCCACGAAATTTTCAGAACTTACTCCCATAAATCATAGCCCAAGTAGGCAAGTAAAGTAGTCTTTTTCTCAAAATCAAAAGTGCAACTGTAGTTACCATGTTCCTTGTACCACTTTGGGGTGAGCTTCTCATCATTAGCCCCAACACAGGTGTGGAAAGACGGAAGCCTTGCAGGAGCTGCAGATAAGATCGTGAATTAACCCTCACAATGCTTAATGAGCGAACTATAACTCAACTCTTCTAACTCCAAAAGCAGAAAAACGCAAGCTACCAGGTTTCACTTACATTCCGGAAGTAGAAAACCTTTGCTTAAAGCAGGCCTCTCATATGGTGCAACCTAGAGAATAAACAAACACGGAAGCTGATTATTGACAGCGAAAAAACAAAGGTCACCCCATTTCCTCCTACATTAATACTGATCCACAACTAATAATTCATATCACAACAACTAAAAGTAAAAAACAAGAAACACAAATCAGTTAAATTGCTGCCTAAGTGAGTCAACGACTGCTCGAACTAAACGATAAACCACATCCAGAGATGGATAGACGTCATAATAATACCATCCTTAAAGTCTAGATGCTAACGAATCATTGATTTGCTACGGGACAGAGTAACACTACTCGAAATTCTTGGTCTTATTAATTCTTGCAAGAAAGCTCTTGAAACTACTGCAACTTCAACAAATAGTTCAATATGACACAAATCTCCACCAAATCTCAGATTCATTTCAGTAATGAGTTGCAGTAAAGACTCAATGCACAGAATCTTGAGAGCAAAAACCCTAATCTTTAAGGAAATCCACACAGAATTGGCATAGTAGTAGCACTATTATATACTTAAGTATAAAGCTATTACCAGTCATCCATCTAATTAATAATCATTAAACCAACAAATCCAATAATCTACCACTTAATAATTTCAAAACTACTCAAAGTGAACCCAACTACTGAGTCAATAAAGAAGAAATCAAAGCGTAGATTATCTATCAAACACTAGAATTCCAAACAAATCAATTCAAAGAAAGAAAGAAAGAAAGTGAATAGTGGGTTACGGGTTCTTCGGAGATGATGCAGAGTTCTCCCTCGGAGACACCTCTCCTCGTGAATTCGAGAGCTGCGTAGCCAGCTGCTACACCTCCTCCCAGAATCACATACACGAACGCTCTTCCCATACCCGCTTACCTTTTTTTCCTTTTTCAGCTTTTCGAGAAATCAAATCCTATATGTAATTTTTTTTAAAAAGATTTCCCGAGAAATATTTTTATTTTTGAGGCGCAGAACAAATACTTCTGTTATCGGATTTTCTTGTGCAAATTACAATTATACCCCCTCTTTGACTTCGTTATTGAGGAACGGTGGATGTTAAGGATAAGTGGATAACACTAGATCTGAACCATCCATTTCTCTGGACGAAAAACTGTGACAGTGGGACCCAGCTTAGCTTCTTTGCTTGCACGACTTGCTTGGGCCCATCCATCCATCATCATTGGTAAAAATATTATATTTTTGTTATATAAACAAAAGAATATATATGAAATCGTCAGTATGAAATTGCTAAGTTTATAGGTAGGCAGCGACTTGGCATTGGGAAGTGTGTTGGAGATGAGGATATGGTGGCCGCGAATTTAAAGAAGAAATTAATTTATGTATTATACATATCGCAAGACAAAACGAAACTTTTATTGTGGACTTGTTTGGAGTTTATTAGGTTCCATTATCTCTGCCAATGTGCCAAGTGGTTCGTTCATACGTGATACATCCTATAGTAGTTTATAAGAACATTAAATAATTTAACTTGTGGGTGAATGGTAACGTGTAGCCCTGCGATTCCGAACCGATCCGAAGGGGCCGAACCGAACCGAACCGAATATATCGGACTTCGGACAGTATTCGGTTACGGTCGAGAAACCGATCGGCATATGTTTTAAAAATCTTCGGTTATTACGTCGGTTCGGTTCGGTTCATGAATTCCGAACGGTTATCCGAATTTTAACCTAACTATATATACCCTTAAACTTAAACCTAATTGTCGGCTAAACATAATCACTTAACCTAATCCCCTTTCTCTTTCTCTCAAACCCGAGCCTCTCTCTTCTTCGTCGATTCTGAACCTGAGTAATCTCGTCTTCCTTGTTTGATTCTGACCACGAAGTAAGCTTCTACTTCCATCCCTCTACTTCTATGTCTATTATTGGGTTAGGATTGGGAGCTTTCGATGGTTGGGATAGATTTAGGAATTAGGGTTTCTGTGAAAATTAATTTGGGGTTTCACTATTTGGTTGAAGACAGAGTCGATTAGCAGTGTTATTGTGTCTCATAAGGGTTCTTTCTCCATTGTCATTTAACGCTTATCAGTGTTTGGGATCGATTTGGGAATTAAGGTTTATGTCAAAATCGATTTGGGGTTTTATATTAGGGTTGAAGGAAGAGTTTATTAGCAGTGTTATAGTGTCTAATAAGGGTTGTTTGTCGATTATGAATTCATGATTTGAGATGAAATTGGGATTAAGGGTTTAAAGATGTTTAGTGTTTACGATGAACTGTTTCAAGCTAGTGTTTGTTGTTGATATTAAGTTTCTCTATACTCTTTATCTAGTCTC